TCGAGTGAAAATACAAGAGAGCGAGCAATGAAGTGACCAAGCACACAGCGCGCCAGATCGTCTGGCCGATCTGCCGACGAGGCCTTCGCCAGCCCTGCGGAGTATAAGGCAGAGATTCTCGCGCTATGCATCCTTGTGCTGCTGGGCCGGCCCCTGGTCAGCGGACCCGGGTGGGGTAGATTGGTGGGGGCCGCCAGGCCCGAATCCCCTGCCCCCCCGGTATATGCGGCCAGGATCGCTTTGCCGTCGCCCTATGGGCAAGCATTAGCAAGAAGCGAGCGCAAGAGCGCGGCCGATTCAAATCGTTCAAAATTTTCGACGACCCGGGCGCGATATGAGACTACGCCCATCATCACCGAGTGCGACGCAGTTATAAGTATTGGTACTGTGCTGCCTGACCTTGTCACTGGCGTTGTGGGCGGAGCAGGTGCAGTCGCTGCGCCTGGAGCGGTTGCAGCAGCAGATGCGCGCGCACGCACTGATTGCACTGAGCACACAACGCCTACACGCAGCATAACACGTCACACCACCGCAAACAGAACCCTCGCAGGACACAAGCCAATACAACCCTACATGCAGATGCGCCGCAACGCGAGCTCGCACGGAGATGGGCGCAGCGACACTTTCACCCCCCTTCGTACCTACAACACCGCTGCCCCATACGACACCGAGCACGCGATAGAAACCACAGCGCAATGGGAAACCGAGCAGTCCATGCCCAGAGCCTGCCAGGATCCCATGTGTATGCCTCTTGGGCAAAACGCATCCCCAACGGCATGCGCAACAGCAGTGTCAGGCGTAACCAACCGCAACCAGGAGCAGCAAGAGCTCAGGGCTGACCTGTCGTTAGATAACGGCATGTTGCAGGATACAGGGCCTCAGAAAACTCACTTAAATCTTGCAGGCAAGCGTGCGAGAGAGAAAGAGAATGGGGCCCTCGCTCAAGCGCGCCTGCTGACAAGAGCGCGCGCTGCAGTGAAGCACCACTGCTGCAGTAGTGCCAAACTCCACCGGGCGCATGGTTTGACAAAAACTACATTGATGCGTAAGGATGTGCAGGAGGTTGGTAGTTTATCACTGCCAAGCGCCCCGTATACACACCCCGACACCCAGCGCGGCCGCGAAACAATCACCGGGCGGCGCGAAACACCATCAAACTTATATAAACTTAAAACTTATCCCTGCAACTATCCAAAAGAAATAAGCCACGCAAGCCACTTCACCAGGGTCACCCGCCAGGCGCCACAAGCAGCTGCCGCCTGCAGCCCAGCCGCAACGTTGCCGCTTGAGCCTATGCGCGCAACGGACCGTCGTGCGACCACTAGAAATGACAGCGATGCTGTCCCACAAATTGATGATTGGGACATGCTGAGAGCACACCGCACAGGGTTGACAAACAATGACAGCGACTGGACCACGACAGCAGCACTTCTAGGTGTGCTCTTGTGGACCGCCGCAAGGTGGAGCAACAACCAATGCCGCAAGATGCGTATGTGGAAGATAAACAAGACGCGGCTGCCTATTATAATAATGCTAATGGCGCACCCTGCTGGGGCGGCGGCTGCCCCGACACTCTCAAACATAGCTCACCTTGCAGTGCCCGAGATGGCAGCAGCAGCAATGGTAATGATGATGGCAGTCGCGCCCTGCCTCCAGGGAGCCCTTGCAGCAGCATACAGCACGGCGGCGGCTGTTTTTTCACTGAGAAGACGCCGCGCTTGGGGGAAAAGACTGTGTATGCTCCAGCAGGCGGCTGCGCGCGGCCAAGCTTCCATACGCTGGTCAGCACCCGCCCACCCACACGTGCCCGCACCGCTAGCCATGCTCGCGCCCACGTATAAACGCAACAAGAGCCAGGAGCCAGTGCGCACTCGGGCACTGCACGTGGTGCGCACAGCCATGCGACTGTCGCAAGGGGAACAGCATGCGCTGACCGCAGCAATATGCAAACTCACAAGCATTATGCCCACAGCTCGCAAGGGCTGGCGCCAGCCGCGCAAAGGATCTTACCATGCAGCGTGGCTCGGCCGCCACATCCCACACGCTCACCGCACGTACCACGTCCTTCAAGAATGCCACCGTGCCCTTCACAACATGACCCCCGGTGCCTCCTTGCCGGCAGCTGCAGCGCACCCACACATAAACGGCAATCCTGACAACACACAATCACCGCCCATTTGCGACGAGGACAACCGAATTGGGACCGGGCACACGATCAGCACCGCTGCCCAGCCGCAACCCGACCTACAGCCAGCGACGCCTGCCGGACCGGGGGCGCTGCGCGGCGGCGGCCTGGCGCGCCTCCGCAGGGGGAGGGCCCCGCAAGGCCAAGACGACCGCTGGGTCCAGCCTCCAGCTGGAACATACTGTGAGGCGCAGGAGCAAGGCTTCTGCGGGGCGCACGCTTTGAATGCGCTGCTGGGCAGACGGGCGATACCTGGAGAGGCGATGGTGCGCTATATGCGCGAACACTGGCCTGCAGGGGAAGAGGCAGGCCACTATACGGGGGAGGGGTGGTTTACCTCCGAAGCCCTCAACAGGTGGCTGTATGAACACACACCGCCAGAGCTACATGTGTCAGTTCACCCCCTGCTACTGGAAATGGAGGGCCCGGGCAACCTGACAGGCATAGAGCTGAAGTGGCGTCTAGAACACCATGGGTGTGACTGTGCACTGGTTCACGCACCCGACCACTGGATAGCCCTCGTGAAATGCGCTGACGGGCAGTGGTACGAAGCGGATTCTATCCCTTTCGGCGCCAACGGCAACAAAATCAAAAGGATGACCAACGCTGACTGGGAGTATGGCGTGACGACGGGGCGCTGGAGCGTCAATGTACTGGCTCCCATCGACGCCGCGCGCGCCCAAACAATTGGGGCACAACCTGGCAGGGGAGCGGGAGGGGCGCAGCGCCCCCCCGCGGACTTTGTGGCGGTGCCCCTCGCCCAGCTGCGGCTGGCCATTAGCGCGGCCCCCACCCGCAGCGCCGGGGCGAATGCGATGCCCACGACTGCGGCCATCGCCCGTCGCGCAGAAATTGAAAAGCGCAAGGCCGCAGAACTACACAGCCGCAGAAACGCATCAAGGAAAGCGACAAACCGCACGGACACGCGGGGGAATGAGGCGGCCGCGGCCGCCCGTCAGGAGGGGCAGCAGCGACTGATGCAGACGACCGCCGTCACCCCGCAAGCCGAGATCGATAGCGCAGCAGCAACTGTGGGACGCGTGCCTGCTCAGCAGGTACCGGTATTGAGGCCAAGACGACGCGAGTTCGCCCTCAAATACTCGGCACCAGCCCATAAAGGGGTATCAAAACATGCAGGTCAGAAACGGCGGGTGGTGATTCAAACCGACTTGCGGCAGAAGCGCATCACCGACCTCTGGAAATGCAAAGCAACACCTGCTGCGGCACTCGTGCCTCCTGCAGCGGGGGTGCCTGAGGGCGCAGAGATGGACAGTAGTGGCAACACCACAGGCGAGCCGTGCACGCGGGCTCACGCAACCACAGCGCCCGCCCCAGCGCCCACCGCAACACCTGCCGCTCGTGGGAACACAGCAAGGAGAGAACGCCAGCGTACGCGGCGGCGGGCAGCTCGCGCGCTTAAGGAACGGGCGGATCTGGACCGCGCCGCCGCCATGCAACAGGACAGAGAAATACTCGATCACACTACAAAGCTCTCAGTGCTCACTCTGAATGTGCAAGGACTTGGCACATTCTCAGGCCACCTGAGTGACCTCATGGCCAAGACAGCGCATGCGCCGCCCGACATCATTGTACTCACAGAAACAAAACAGTCTTGCAAGAACCGCTTTTTCAAAAAGCTTGTCACCCCCCTGTTGCAGGGCTACAGCTATGCATGCACCGCTGCTCCTTTTGAAAAAGACAGGGGCCCCAGAGCAGGGGTCCTTGTGGCGGTGCGCAGGGCGGCCGTGCCTCACTGCACCGTCACTTT